TGTAGAAGAAATGCATGAGCATGTACACACACACACACACACACACACACACACACACACACACACACACATAGACAGTCTGTTAACATCAGCCTTTAGGACAAGACCTACACTGGGTAAGAAAGAAAATGGAAGTGGGCAAGAATTGTTATATAGCTACTTTAAAAATTTTCCTGAAAAATAACATGGTAATGTTGATGTAACTCTATAGTAATGAAATCAGCTTTCATGGATAGTTGCAAAACTAGATCCATTATCTTAAATGTCAAACCCACTTAATGCTATGATTTCTAGCTCAGTGACAGAGAATATTGAGGGATTTGCACATACTGGTAAACTTCATGCAATCGTTAGGCACACATGAATCTGCACCAAGGTTAACCAACATAGGTTAATAAAATGTACCTTGTTAACCCTGACTTCTGTTTAATTAGGAGCATCTGTATGCTTCACTAGCCGATAAATTCTAGCAATTTTGTTTACTTAGAAAGATTCATAATAATGTAACTTAATGATGCATAGAATGCAGATCACATGATTCCATTTTACAAGCATTTTTTCAGAATGCTATGTCCTCCACCTGGAATGTTCTCCATAATCAAAAACTGTCAACGATTGAAAGCCAACCCTTGAGATTACCTAATGAAAACCTTCCATTTATGGATAACAGAACTGAGATGCAGACTTATCCAAGGCCATTTCTGAGTAGATAATAAAACTAGAATAATAACATAGCTTTCAACTCTCAATTTTTGTTCTGTCCTCTACCCATCTTTTAAAACTCAATGCAAGCCCCGCTATTACAAGAAGGCTTCTGTGACCCGCCCCCCCAGTGATTTCTCACTTTGATGAATCCCTAATCATGATATATATTATGCTATTTAGAATTTGATTGAAAACTTGTCACTCCCAATATTATGCTTCACTCATATATCTCTAAGAAGGTAATGATGTCTTATGGACAAAATTCATATTTTGTGATTATCTTATCTATTCCAAAGTACCTAACAAAATCATGTGCTCCAGTCCTTATCTTATAACATACTTCTCCCTCCTTTAAGGAATTCAAGCATTTTGGTCCTCATCACTTCAACCCTACCATCCTCAGTAATGTCAACTTTCATGTACATGACTTTTTCAATTATAGACATACAGTAGAGGACAGAGACTGCATCTAGCTCATTATTCCCAACGACCTTCACCGTCACCTGGCCTCAAGTCTCAAGCAAACATTAGTACATGTTCCCATTGCTCAGAAATATTCTACCTCCCATATCTCCATGTGTAAAATTCCCATTTCTGAATGTAGCCTGTTATCCTCCCATATCTTTGACTTCCTCACTCACTCCCATAGAATTTGCCATTCTCAATCCTTCTCCTTTTCCTGTCTACTGTGTCTCTTCCAGCTTCACTTGACACCCTATCCTGATATGTTTGAGCTAATTCTTTTATTTCTTTTCTTCCTTTGACCTGCAAACTTTTGAAAAGGAGAGTCCATGTAAACTCCCTTCTCCTCCTTGCTACCAATTCAGTCTTTAATCCGTTGAAATTCAGGTTCTGCTTCAGCTCTTATTCTAAGACCACAAATGGTCTTACTGATAAATCTGTGAGCCTTCTTCATTCCCCCTGTTCTCTCTGAAACACTATTGACCATTCTCTCCTTCTGGATACCCTTCTCCCTCCTTGAGTTTCTCTTCATAGCATTCTGTTCTCTACCTCTATAGTTTCTCTGTGTCTCTTTCACTGACTGCATAGGTGCCTCCCACTCCTAAAATAATCTCAGCCCCAACATTATCCCAGTCATCACCACATATACATTACTTGCTGGACACCACCACAAGGATGCCTAACATATATCACAAATTCAACCTAAACAGCAAACTCTTTTTTTCCACCCTATACATGCAACACACACCAGACACCCCATTTTGCTGATGACAATGTAATCCTTTCAGCCTAACAGGCTGACAGTTTCCAGATCACCTTCCCTTCCTTGTGCTACAAATCTAATCAGTTGCCAAATCAATTTCATTTCTATTTTAAACATTTTTCAAAAGCTCCTCTTTAGTGTAGTTTTCCTTTTCTTTCTGCTACATTGTCCTAGTCCAGGCCCTCATTATCTAGCCCCTGAGCACCCCAATAGCTCTGGTTGGGAAAATAGGACTGAAACCTAAAGTCAACATCAACACAAAGTAATATATGCTAAAGGATATGTGAATGGAAAAAAAAAAAAGAGAGATCCCTAACTGGCTATGCAAAAGTGCAAAAGTCAGATCTGGACACAGATATGTTTCATCTGACCGAAAAATCATTTTTACACTATTGAGCCAACTTTAAGGGAAGACAAAATAAAAATCAATATGTTCAGGTTTTCTGGTAAAGGGGGTGATCTGGCAACATTAGGGTCTAGTCCATTCAGTGTAGCTGTCAACCGGAGCTGAGTTGCAGTCTCCTCCTTAGACATCTGCTCTCCAAGGCCCCATAGGCATCACCATTCCCTAACTTCACTTAATTACTTACTCTCACCTGGCCCTACTCAGTCATGCTTCTTGGTCCCTGTAGGTGGCCGAGTTTGTAAATTCTGTTGTAAAAGTCAGTGCTAAGGGTTTTTGATGGTAAGGACGCTCATTGTGCTCAGCATATATCCTTGACACCTAACACTTTATCTCTCACGCAGTAAGCACTCAATAAATGTTGGGAGAAAGTTTTGGAGGTGACTGTGGGCAGGCAAAGTACAAAGGCACACAAAGAAAACAGGATTTAAATTGAGCCTTGGCCAAAACAGGTGGATTTGATTAACATACCAAGAGAGAGAAAATAATATTTGAGACAAAGAATATTCTGTGTTTTAATCCCAAATTTGGTACTGCTGTTTAATCTTATTGTTTAATTTACTTAACTTCTTTGAGCCTTGGTTTCCCTGTCTGCTGAATTAGGATAACATATATGTCATAGTGTTGTTATAACTAAGGTAAATTGCTCAGTAAGATTCAATTACTGAAATACTGGAATTACTGAGATAAATTACACAATAGAATTCAATAAATAGTAGTTATTAACAACAAAATAATAATAATAACTCCCTGAATAAAGCCACCAATAGAGGTATATGGTCAGGGCATGTGGGTAGCCCAATTAGTCCGAAGCAAAATGCTTCACAGAGGGAAATAATGACAGATAAAAAAGGAGAGAGAGATGACGGAAACCAGAGTCGGTTGCCATTTCTCTCTCCAGCCAACTCAAATCTTAAAGCTAACAAATGCATCACTGAATTTCCTATGGTGTGTAACAAAGGCCAAGGACTGTGACCTGGTCCTCCCAGTAGAAAGTGCTTTGAATCAGATACACATAGGTTCTAATATCAGGGCTGGCACTTACTAGCTGAGTAAACGAGCCAGATTGTTAACTCTTCTAAATCTCAGTTGCCTTATCTATAAAATGGGTATGGATGGCCTTTTAAAATAGGGTTGCTGTATTAAACAAGTAATATATATGCTAGGCTCATGGTGGAAACTCAATAAATCTTAGTTCTTTAAACTGTACTACGGTTGTACCATCATGTGCTATCTATCCTCTGTCCCTTTCTTTTCTTTCTCTCTTGTTTGTATTTGCCACCCATGTTTTTCTCTATCTCTTCTTTGCCAGGCTCTTTTGCCTCCTTACCTATACCTAGTGTGTTAGGTGTTTACTAAGATTAATCTCATTCAAAAGCATTTATAGAACCCTTACTGTAAGTCAGGCACTATGCTAATACACGTTAGCACAGCTCCCTCTACTGGCCTTGGAAGTACTTCAAGCTCATTTTCATGTATGAGTCACGTCCCTTCCAGGTAAATCAGTTCGCAAAGTATATCAGCTTGAAGTTAAACAAGGCCACATCCTGAGCCAAACTATGCTCACATTTTCTGTAGTTCCAAAAGAGTATGTGTGGGCATAACATAGAGAAGAACCAGGAAACCTGCGATAGGTATCACTGGAACTGCAGGAAGCATTTGTGAACAACAGTAGAGGAACAAAAGTCAAAGGACAGCCAGGCATATCCTTTGACCCATTAATTATATCTGTCAATTTCACCTGAGGAAATAATTATGGATATGCACAAAGATTTAACTATAAAATATTCCTTCTAGACTTGTCTGTAAGACTACAAAAGTAAAACAAACCTTAACATCTAACAACAGATTAATTCAATTGTGGTTTACTCATGTAAGCTATTAATGAAGCGTGTCACAGAGGAATATTTATTAACAAGGAAAGATGCCCAGGCTGTATTATTAACTGAGAAAAGCAGGTTGCAGGCAAAATATATGAATGAACCTGTGTTTGTAAGTATATATGAATAGAGAAAATTCTGGAAGTCAAGCGAGATGTTAATGATTGACTCTGAAGGTGGGATTATGAATTTTTACTTTTTGTTTTGTGTTTCTAGCTTTGTTTCCATGTACCACTTTTATAACAAGAAGAAATACACACGCGCGCACACACACACTAGTGTTCTGTGAGTGGAGACAGATGACAGCTGGAAAACTAGCAAGGTGGATGGATGATGATTGATAGATAGATAGATAGATAGATAGATAGATAGATAGATAGATAGATAGATAGATAAGGTAGATAGATGCATGGCCAGCTGGATGGATGGATGGATGGATGGATGGATGGATGGATGGATGGATGGATGGATGGGTGGGTGGGTGGGTGGGTGGATGGATGGATGGATGGATGGATGGATGGATGGATGGATAGAGAGATAAGAGAGATAGAGAGATAGACAGACAGACAGATAGATTAGAGATAGATAGATAGATAGATAGATAGATAGATAGATAGATAGATAGATAGATAGATAGATCGATCGATCTCCACACGGGAGGCACATCAAGCCAGATGTTTAGGGAGACAACGTTTAATGAGCCTTATGGGGTATCATTAGTAACAGGTTAATGAAAACAGGCAAAGGTCCTGCAACTTGTGTCGGAGCCTGTTCTTTTTGCCATCAGGTCGACGCCCACGGTAACATTCTCCTCAGCACCCTGGAAATCCGGAATGAGACGAGTGGCTCGGAAGTGCTCACGAGCGTGAGTGACCCCAAGGCCACCATGTACTCCTATGACAGCGCCAGCATCCAGTACCGCAAGCCTCTGAGCAGCCGTGAGGCCTATGGGCGCACCCTGGACCGGCACGGGGTGCCCAGCAAGGGGCGCATCCGCAGGCGCGCCTCCCAGCTCAAAGTCAAGATCCCCGACTTGACTGACGTGAACTCCATAGACAAGTGGTCCCGAATGTTTTTCCCCATCACTTTTTCTCTTTTTAATGTCGTTTATTGGCTTTACTATGTACACTGAGGTCTGTTCTAATGGTTCCATTTAGACTACTTTCCTCTTCTATTGTTTTTTAACCTTACAGGTCCCCAACAGCGATACTGCTGTTTCTTGAGGTAAGAGATTCAGCCATCCAATTGGTTTTAGGTCTTGCATATCAGTTTTATTACTGCACCATGTTTACTTCAAAAAGCCAAAACAAAAAAAAAATATTTTTTTCCAGTCTACCTTGGTCCAGGTTATCGGCTCTGTAAGAGCTCTATTAATTGCCATGTTTACAAACAAACAAAAAGAGAGAAGTTAAATAGGTAGATCTTTAGCAGTCTTTTCTAGTTGCCCTGAATTTTACTGATTTATTTTTTAGGGAAAATGAAAAGAGGACCTTGCTGTCCACCTGCACTACTTCCTGGTAAACTGTAACAATCTTCTGCTGCCAAAAAATAAAAATAAAAAAAATAACAAAAAAAAAAACAAAAACAAAAAAACAAAAAACAAACAAAAAACAAAAAAAACAATTTCCAGGATCTCAGAAGAAAAAAACAAAGCCATTGATAAGTTACAGATTTCCAGGAAGAAGGCAAAAGAAAAAGGAGCTTAGAAAGGGAAAGAAGAGTCCCTTCTATCCTTAAGTTCTCCCGTGTCCGTTGTAAAAGGGCTCCACAGCTCCATAGAAGAGGAAAGGAAGGGCAAGTGCTAGTCAAGGTTACACAATCCCAACCTGCCATCTTCACCGCACCATTAAGCTGGATATTCTGAAACATGCTTCTTTCTCAGACTTTCCGGCAAATTTTAAATTAACATTAGAATCCAACCTGGTCTACCTGGTAGCCATTGAGAACATTTTTCTTTTCTTCTTGAGAATAAGGAGGCAATGGGAGGGAATGACCATTTTTCTAACTGGCCATTTCAAACATGCAGCCCTGAATTCATCTCATCAGTCTGGAACCCCTTGATGCTGTGCCAGGAAGCCATGCCACCCCAGTTCCATAGTTCCTGCTCCAGAGAGTGTGGGAGGAAGGGGATGGTGAGCAGTTTTTGCTTGAGAAAAATATTGCGCTTGCCATTAGGAAGGCAAGATTTATGTGCTGTGAAAAGGGTGCCTGGGCAGTTATCTGAACTGCCAAATCTTAAATCAAATAGTATATATTTCTTTGCCTTCTAGAGAGCAGTATCTAATGGTGACAGGCTAGTCACACAGGCCTCAGCTGCCACTTTATGGCTCTGCTCTCTGAGCTCTGCATTCCAGACTGGAATTAATGCTTTGGAAAATACACAAACACCCATGTTGGTGTCATTCCCCTTCAGGACCAGATTTCCATTTTAAAGAAAATCTTGAAAATAGCAGAACTACAGATAAAAACAAGAGCAATGACAAAAGCAGTGGAGCTTCCAACACGTGCACGAGTCCCTAAAGAACAGACCCTGTCTACACTCATTAATCACTGTCATTGCTCCTCTGCCTTATCTCTGCTTGTGGATTACTCTTGGCCATGGTTCTCATAGAAGGGGCATCCTTCAGTAGCCCAACATAATTCTAAACATGTCCAACCAGCTACAGTTGAGATTCTTCCCATGTTATGTCATTGAAACCCTGTCCTTTTATTTTTCAACCTTAATATCTAAGAATTCTGTATGTTCATTTGCAAGACTGAATGAAACTGTAAGCTAACCAAACGGTGATGCAGGAGGTTTGGGACCTGACCATGAGTGTGAAATAAGGGTTGAGGCAGCAATAGGGACAATGGCCTGGCTTAATGATCTAACTTTTTCCCTAAGACTGTGATGAGGGTCCATGTTTAAAATAGCATCAGCTTCTGGAAGTTACAGACTTCACTGGACAGATGATGCTGAATTTTTACTGATGAGCTGAAGGGGAGAAAGTAAAGATATTCTTTTAGAAAGCAAGAGGAAAAGAGAACCTCAAAAGAAATGATAGTTAAGGCTAAAGATAATATATGTACAAAAACTCTGCTTTAACTAGAAAAAAATGATCTCAATGGTTTCATGAGAAAACAGTGGGGTTATAGGGACCATATTTTTATTTGGATTTTTAGTTGTATTATCACGCTTTCCTGGTCAAGGAAATCCCCAGCCTTAGGGCATGAAGTCATCCATTTTGAAACTCTTCAGTCCCTTGGCAGGGTGAGATGCTTTGCCATCATAAAATGGCCAAATAGAGTGGCATGTGGCCATGTCAGTGATTGTAAGGTTAATATTCCGTAATGACGACAAAGGAACCACTGTGCAGCCATTTATTTTAAACACAGGAAGGAAAATTGTTAGCTGATGCCTAATAAAAATGAATCATTCTGGGTGTCAAAGCTCTTTTAAAAGCTTTTAAGAATGAAATGCTAAATCAGATAGGAAGTATCTGTAATCTATGTTCCTTAACAAACAATTTATTTTATCTATTTAGATTATTCTTCTTGGGAAAGATTGAGAATATTTGTATTTTTATTATATTTTTATCTTGCCTTTAAAAATCTAACGATTTTGATGCTGTAGTTTTAGATGTAAAGCATCTTCGAGAAAAAAAGAGAACATTTTGAATTCATATCTTAACCTTTGTAAAATGTAAACTTATTAAGCCTGAATCTACCCATCAGGCACAAAATGGCGTCACCATATGCCCTCCTGGTCAGTAGAGGGGCCACAGTCAGCATTATGCAAATCCTGTTAAATAGCTGATTTTAGACGCAATGGCAGCCAGAAGAATGGAGAAGCTGCTAATATTTACGGTTAAAGACCTCTGTCCCCACTTCTTTCTGGACACCTCTAGGCCAAAGTCTTCCCTCCTTGGCTCCACTCCTAGCCAAATCCTCCCCTTTCAGGCTGAACAGTGAATAGGAAAAAAAAAAAAAAAACAAACAACTTCCTTCTCTGGCTGTCTCTCTTGTCTTGCCCAAAATCATGTACATAAAACATAAATGTTGTTGGACATTCTTAAGTGCCCTCAAAACTGGCCCCATTGTTGAAAGATTCAGATTATTACATGATAGAGGGATTATTATTCAATCATTACTGGGGTTGTTTTCTTTTTGCCATGAAAATAGCCATAATCCCCTGCATTACTTAAGCTGAGGAAGAGGCCGAAAGTTACACAGACCCACTCTCTGATGTCCAAGTCATGTCCAAGTAACCCCACGTTTATAGTTCAGAAACTGTGACATAAACTGTGTCATAAACTTCACTTGTGAAAGCCCCATGGAAATTCCATCTTTCACTGGACAGTGATGACTGCATACTCATTCCTTCCAATCATGTTCCTTGGCTTAAAATATTAGGGGTGACATGTGCATTATACTTACCAGCTTTGTGAAGCAAAGATCCAGGTCAAGACATATTTTTGGCTTGAATTATCCAGGATTATTGCCTCTGTTTTCTACATTGCCAAATAGAAACAGCAGATTGGTTGGTAATTCTGCCAACTGAATGATATGTGTTTTCATACACGCCATCTTTATTGTGCATTATAATCAACAAAGGGTCTTGAAAATGCAAAGAGAAAAAAATGTGGTGCAGAGAATAAACTTTGGTTTAAGGGTCCAAGGATAGGCATTCCTTAAAAAGCATTATGTACGATACACAGAAATGTTGACTAAATTCCATCTTTCTAAAATCAATGACTATTTTATAAATATTAAGAAAGAATTCAATTACAATTTGCCAAGTTAAACAAAAAAAGATACATTTATAATACTTCTAGAAGGAAATAATCTCCAAGATTTCTTATATGGACAATTTTGAATAGTATCTTACCAAAGGGTGATGTGTCACCATTGTCTTTCCTAAACAAAGTAAATCATATATCCGAGGGAGGGAGAAAAAAGGAATGTACAAGCATTTGTTCATGGTGGTTCAATCAGCATTATTGGGATGAGGGGGACAGAAAAACAAACAAATATATCTGTTTCCTGAAAGCAAGCAGTGAACATAAAGATAAATTTGCTAATGGAATGTAGACTATTATGTAAACTTCCTTGTAAATTCTGTACATAGTTCATTGAACTGTTCCCTGTTGCGTGGTGGTCCTCAGCTTTGGGTGAATGTTCAAAAAATCTGAGCATTGTAAATAATGTAAGCTTATAAGGTATTTGCTTTTCTTCATGAAGTGAAATGACTAGTGATTTGGGCCCAAACCAGAATCTTTTTAGCTCTTGCTCTTTCTCTGCCATTTTGTGTGTGCAGTTGTGTAACTCTGCTGCAAGCCATAGCCAGGTGTCTGTGATCACTGCCTCATCCCCCTACCCCACTGAAAGGGACAGCAGCTGATGAGAAGGCTGCAAGCCTGTGGGGCTTGGGAATAGCGCACCAGCAGAAACGGAAACTGTAGCTAGCTGCTCCTTGAACTGCATCATAAAGAGAATTGTCTTTATCAGTCATTCATGGCTATTCATATGTTCAGATACTGAATTATTCATGCCATTGAGGGGGTCAGGAATGGAAGAGATATTCAAAATCCACAGGTAATCCAAAGCTTTATTTGCACCAATAGCTTTAGCTTCTAACTTGTTCCCTTCCAGTTTCCCAGAACTTCTATTAAGAATAGAAGTGAATGGATGGGTTTGATCAGGGTAAACAGCCAAATGTCCAAATGATGGGAAAGAATAAAGGAAGAGACAGTAAATGATTGATAACACCAACAGACTGAGTCATTCCTGAAAGATCCAGAGGTAACCATGTCATTATTTTTTAAAGGCAAAGAGAAATATTGTTATACACTGGGATTTGAAACTAGTCTTTTTGAACAGACATGGTGATTCATGCCTGTAATTCCAGCACTTTGGAAGGCCAAGGTGGGAGAATCACTTGAGGCCAGGAGTTTGAGACCAGCCTGGACAACATATCAAGGCCTGTCTCTATTTAAAAAAAAAAAAAAAATTAGCTGGGCATGTTGGCATGCACCTGTAATCCTAGCTACTTGGGAGGCTGAGGTGGGATCGTTTAAGCCCAGGAGTTCAAGTGAGCTATGATCATGCCACTGCACTCTACCCTGGGCAACAGAATGAGACTGTGTCTTTAAAAAAAAAAAGAGAGAGATAAAGAAAAAACATATATATATATATATGTATGTATGTATTTGGGATATGTGTGATATGTGCTAATTAAACTTAAAAGAGTCTGGTAATTAAATGTTCTCAAATACATTTCTCCCAAGTATTGGTATTCCTGAAAATGTCTTCAGAATGGTGGGATATTATGCCACAAGATGTGTTTCCATGCAAACTGGCAGTCCCAGGGACAGCAATGGTGTATATAGAAATTTAGAATATCTAAACCAGCTTGTTTCTGAGTAATGTTTTAGAATGGACATCATCTTTCTTGGAGGTAAGAACTTTGCAAGGTAGGACTTTTTGTGCCAACATTCTAAGTGCCAGGAGAGTTCAGTAAGCCATCACTTTGAGATATATTGGTTCTAAAATTTGCCACCTAGGGTCCAC